AACAGTTTACTCATAGCCTTCGCTGTAGATATTTGGAAACACAGATTCAAGCAAGAACACTATTGATCCGCCCGAGGAGCCCACCGCAACAATCAAACTTCTCTTTGAGTCGGACTGAAAGTAAACAAAGACAGGCGTGCATTTGAAATACATTTACTGTAGCTATTGAAGTAACCTACGCAGCATTGCAAATCCACTTTGTGCATGTTAGAAAATAAGCAGCAAACACAAAAAGATAATATGCGTCAGCTGGGGAGGAGAATATATAAATCCTTGAAATAAATTGAATATAAGGAATATCCATTTTTGGGATAATTATGGATATCCTCAGGAATTACTCGCACAAGCTGTCTAGCTTGCTTTCATAAAAGAAAATGGAAAAGAAAACCTGATTTAAAAATGCCTCATTATGTGCTTTATGTGTGATGCAATAAAACGTTTTTTTTCTTAACATAATGTAGGGTAAAGTGATTCCAATTATGTTTTAGTGCCATTTGAGATTGAAGCATAATTTGATCATAATCAAGATAATATGGAGTTGTGCAATAGTACAAATAGTAAAAGTGGATATTAATGTGTTTATGATCATTGGTCATAATAGAAAAAATGAATATGAGAGTCAGACTTGAAATACATTTTGAGGTGTCTGGGCGGGAGCTTTATTCAAAATTGTCATATAGCAGCATGATAACAAGAATTTGAAAATCTATTCAGCATATGAAAAAATACCTGATCAAGATAACTAGTATATGTGTACAATGTCTTAATTTGTACCTCTGCTGTGTCTGACAGTATTGTTGTTGCTCTCCCACCTGTTTCCCCTCAGGAGACCTACCACCCCCTGGGAGAGGACTTCAGCTTCGGCAGCACTGCGCTGATCGGCCTGCTGGTGATCGCGGTGGCCATAGCAACCGTGATTATGATCAGTCTGGTGCTTTTGAGGAAGAGGCAATACGGCACCATCAGTCACGGCATTGTGGAGGTAAGGCACCTGTGACCTGGATCATAGAAGTGCGATCAGTCTTATTCCTGGTGTCAGATTTCAATAGAATCGTCAGGGGTTATGTAAAGGGGGTATGGGTCGATGTCAAGCAAATCAGATCATTGTCCCTGCAGCATTTGCATACGATCCACACAGCATGTTGTAAGTGCACTCTGACCTTGTTTGAGTGCAGGAGTTAACATAAATTTACATTTGCTTACACATGCTTTTGTTCATCTGTTCCTGCAATGTCTATATTATTGATAGTGATACTTTACTATCACTTTTTTTCCTATTGAAAAATATATAAACATTTTAGCATGAAAGAATATTATCTAAGAACATTTACGTCAACTCTTTCATTCAAACTATATCATTACTACAATATTTATATATTTTAAAACGGAAAGAACAAATAAAGATAACAATATAACAAAGACAAATATGGACAGAAAGACTGTAAATTAAAGAGGACATATTATGCTAATTTGCAGCTTCATATTTGTATTTTGGGTCTCTATTGAGACATGTTTCCATGCTTTAAAGTTAAAAAAAAGCTCTTTATTTTTCTCATATGGCCTGTGCTCAACCTCTTTTTACCCTCTGTCTTAAAACCAGAACAAAGTCTGCTCTGATTGGTTAGCTGGCCGGCTCTGTTGTGATTAGTCAACCACTTAGAGATGTCCTGCCCCTTAGCCTACAGTGTGTAGGTCTGCTAGCCAATAGAAGTTGCTATTTTAGCCTTTGCAGAGCATTTACATGCCCAAAAAACGATATCACACATTACAGGGAAAAGGGAACATTTGAAATAGCATAATAGGGCCCCTTTTAAAAAGATGGCATGGTGTGATGGTGCCCCTGTTTAGGTCAGCCATTAACACTGTGCTTGTCTCACAGGTTGACCCCATGCTGACACCAGAGGAACGCCACCTCAGCAAGATGCAGAACCACGGCTACGAGAACCCCACCTACAAATACCTGGAGCAGATGCAGATCTAACAAGAGCCTACAGGGGGCGCTGTGGAGTCACAGAGGGGGAACATACTACTGACCAATAACATATGCTATTGTTAAAATCATTTGCGTACATCCAAACTCCATTTACTGGTTTGTTCGAAACAATCCTTAAATATTGCTACTACTTCTACTACTGCTAATATTGTACTATAGAGCTCTTTTTGATCATATTTCTTTTCAAAAGGTGATGTATCTGCCATTTTTGCATTACGGAAAATGTAATTCTGCAGATTTCTCTGTAATTATCAATACAACTCCCTTCAGATCAAGATGTATAACAATTCTTCAGACGTTTTATTTCTTTCTTTTTTTGTAAGTAAAAGGCAAATCAAACAACATTTAAATGTATTTGAGTGGCCATCATCGAACCGGCATACCAGACACTACAGTACTAATTTTCATCATGCCGGTGTCCTTCATGCAGTTTCTGATGGTTTCTCTCAAAAAAGAATTGGTGTTTTTATTTTGTTTCTTTTTTCCTCTCAATAGATTGCCTGTATATGAAGGTTCTTTGTACCGATTAAAATGTATAGTGAAACAACAAATGAGAAAAAAATGAAATCATGAATTATTTACTTTCCGTTCTTTGTTATGATAACAGACAAAATATACATATACAGTTTAAATATATATATATATAAGAATAGATGTTTTTAATTCACCTTTTGTTTTCCCAGGGAAGAGTCAGTTTGGGGTTCTTAGCTTAGCGGTCATGAGTCGTGTTTGCAGGCACACTGTGAGAAAGAGTCGGGGAGGGGGGAGGTGTGCACAGACCCCCAGCTCAAACACATCACACAAAACCTACTCTAAACCCTTACTAAGTGAATGTGATAACATTTCCCCCCCTACAAACACACAAACACAACCATTTATCAATAGAGAAACAGCAAACATTGGTAGATTAAATATTGACATGTGTTACATAGTTGAATGTATCCTGGAAGCTTTTTTTTCCATACTATGTGGCTTTGATTTAGTGACAGCGGGCGATGACATTTGTTTGTTTTTGTTTTTTGCACAAATTATCTGTAGCAAAAACCAAGCACCAGAAAAATGACTTAATAAAAAACTAATTTAGGTATGATGTATACACACATTTTGGAGCAGCTGTTGGCTTTGCTGGTCATAAAGCGTAACAGTCTGATAGATCAACACAGGGCCGGTCTAGGGGCACTAACAATACAAGGAGCACCACAGAGAGGGCCCATCTGCCACCAGGGGGCCCCCAATGAGAGAGAATGTAGCTTATACGAAGTTTTCTGACCCTGAATATACACATTTGGGGATTGTTAGAAAATAATTCTGGTGGATAGTTTATTTAATATTTTGGGGACTTAAATAATCTCGATGTTCAGTTGGGTAGACAGAAAAGCTTGTGCCGGCCCTGGATCAAAGCCAATTGAAGACAACTTGGAGCTGGAGGGCTGTGCAGGCAGACAGAGACACACAGAAAGACAAGGCTTGGAGAGCTGGTTTTTACAAACAAAATAAAAAGGCTAACTTGTGTGTTTTTACAGGTAGAGAATGACACAGACAAGTAAACTGAATCCTAGAATCCTCTTTTCTCTCTCTCTTAGTATTGTCTTTGTATGCCTGTATAGTTGATGTTGCAATCATGGCTTTTTTCCGGAGGATTACCTGTGGTGTGCATTGTTCTTATATGAAATGATATGATATATATTTTTAAGTTTGTTTTCTTGTTTTCTATTTTTTCCTCTTCCTGTGACAGTATCTCTGTATGTGACTGTCTCACTATGCACCCAAACGGCTTCAATCTTGTAACTGCCTGCTTGATTGTGGGAAGGGACTGGGAACTAATGTGTATATTAGTGATTTTAAAAATAAATGTGATTGACACCAATGGAAACAGACTTATGGTTACAGGGGGGATACACATCAATAAACTCACAACTTCCATATGAACGTGTCGTCTTTTCATTGATGGATTGATAGAATTTTCAAAATGTTCAATTATTGTATTATTTAATGGACCAAGACAAATTAAGGTACACATTAATTTAGGGCTGAAGAACATTTGCATAACATTTAATTACATTGTCAATTTTCTTTAATTAATTAAAGACATATTTATATTAAATGTTGTAGCTGGACAATCCCAAAACCGTAAAATATGTATCAAGTATCGAACAAGACAATTCACATTCAAGGAACTGGAGTCATGACTAGAATGATTATCAAAACAGTTTTTAATTAGTGTACTGTTTATTTACTTACAATTAATCGTTTCATTATTTTAACTGCATGTGTGTTTGCATTAAAATTGTAAACACAATTTACTTGTATTACTTGAGTATTTCCATTTTATGGTAGCCTACTTTGTACTAATACTCCAGTACAATTAAATCAGTAAATCGTCTACTTTTACTCCACTACATTTATTGAATACGTTTAGTTACTTTTACAGATCTACCTTACAGTATACAAAGTCATTAAAACTAGCTGCAGCTTTACCAGCTGTGATAACACTTTAATGCATCAATCATTATAATCAAAACATATAATATATATTATTCTGAAATGGGCCAATCTGCATAATGAGTACTTTTACTGTTGGTACTTTAAGTATATTTAGAATACTTTTGTCCTACTTTTTGAAAATTGTATTTTTGACTCGTGTTTTTAATTACAGGTTAGGCGGAATTCTGGGGTTCCGTTTACTCAACATGAAATGTATGGCTCATCATGAATGGAAAAAATAATCTGGTGATTCAAAAGTGAGTCATCATTGCCCAAAAACAGAAGGCAGATGCGCGGCAAAATCACATGACTGATACTAAAAATAGACCGCATGAAAGCTTCCCCATATCAATTTTTTTAAATAGATACAGTGTTTGAATTTAAATGTAAATACAACAACTTATACACATTAGCCCACTTAAGTATAATGTGTAGTTGCTTTTGAACAGTAGAAACAAAAACACACTTGTCCTACCTGTGGCAGGTAAACAGGAAGTCGCTGCAGGTGCGGGGATACGCCCGCAGAAACCCGAAGCTCCCGGAAAAACTTTTTTTTGTGTGTCGTCTAGTTTCCCTCCGTCGCAGACCGACATATTCAGACCACAAGGACGTTTGTGAACATCTCCACCCGAGAAGAGCTTTTATTTTTAAAGAGACCACCTTACATTTCGTCGTGGTAACCTGTGTCTCTGTTACGTAGCTTATATTTATTCAGTGTTGCTCGCAGCAGGTTGAATTCGTTGAGTCGTCTCTTGGCGACTGGGCCTGCAGGTTCACCTCGGAAACCACCTTCAGTTCAAGAAAGCAACAAGAAAAGGATAATTTAAGGAGATAGTAAATAGTTCAGGAGCTGTAAGGTCGTTTTATTTTATTTTAGCAGTTAGTCCAGGTGTTCACTCCTAATGGACTACATGGATAGTGGACCGAGATACACCCCAAAGTCGGTAAGAAACACACAGGCATGCAACTTTTTAATGTTTTTGTATGTGTTTTTTACAAACGACAGCTGCCTTGCACAACTGTAATTTAAATACTATGAATATACAGCTCTGGAAAAAATTAAGAGACCACTCAACATTATTCTTAAATCTCAATCTCTTCATGTATGGCAGCCATTCCATTCCAGTGTCTGTTGAATTCCAACACAAATGTTGTCAGTAGTTTAATGAATAAAAATAAATAAAACATTTTTTTTACTAAAAACATAACTATAAATAGTAAAACCAGAGAAACTGAATCAAGTGGTCTCTTGATTTTTTCAAGAGTTGTATGTTTCTTCTACTGTAGTTTATGTTTATATTTCTGTTGCTGTTGTATATTAGTATTTGATAGAACATTCCAATTGATCCAGAATGTTATATGGTGTATTCTTGTGATATAACATGTATTTTGTACCATATGTATATATTTGGTGTAATTCACCTCTTAAATATTGGAATGCCTGAACACATTACTGCTGTAACAAAATAATTTCCTATCTATATATCAATCTTGGGAAGTGATGCAGAGTTAAAGATAAAGTTATTTTGAGCTATGAACCTTCCCATAGCAAACCTGTCACACATGAAGTAGTAGGTCACTTGTGTTTTCATTCCACACATGCTTACAGTACAACACTTTGAAAGGATGTCACTGTATTCAACCCTACCTGTTTGTTTTACCTCAAAAACACTGTTAAGCCTAAAGACAAACATGTTACCAGATGAAAAAGAAATCCAGCAGTCCTGCTTTCATTCCTTTGAAAACCTGCTTGTTCCCTACTGATTAGAAGTTTTACATGTGTTATTCCCATGTAGAAAAAAATTACTAAAAAGACCACATTTTTCCTCTATTTAGATTTATGATGATAAATAGCTCTACTTGGGCTGCACAATGTGTTATTTTCATGTGAGAAAATCTCTGATCTGCATCTGAATAAGAATTAATCTCATTGTGATAAACAGATATAAGATATATGTCAGAATTATTCTTTTGTCATTCAAGTAAGAGCAGTAGTTCATGAGAACAACATAGAAATGCTGTCATGTTCTGTGGCACACAAACTTCCTTGAAAAGGTTGCAGGTTTGTTGATGATCCCGCTGACACATTTCCAAGAAGTTAGCACATTGAAAAAACGTATAGAGGCCTCTTCTTCCCTGCTGCATACAGTAAATGAAACCGCTTCAAAATGTTGGTTAAAATGTTTCTAAAATGGTGATTAATCTCTGTTGATCTTCATCAGCGAAGATCCTCAGAAAGCAAGTCAGCCATTTACGCCTGAATTCCTCCGGGTTCCTCCGCCCTGTTGTGACTTGTTCACTGCAGTCCTTCTCTTCTGTACACTAACAGCTGGTCTAATATCACTCTTTAACATCACAGTATGGTGCTAAACAACACACAGCGTTATGCCCTTCAGTCTTAGAAAGAAGTACACAGATCTGAGTAGTATTCAGTAAGCATGTTCTGGTCATTGACAGTGAGGCTGGGTAATAACTCAGAAAGCAGACAATTCAGGTATTTACATTTTTAAGGAATATATCAGAATATTTCATGGTCTTTTGTTACTAGACTTACATTAATTAGAACATGAAACTGTTTACAAGCTAAAACAAAATGTATCCCTACATTGTAGGCCTTATTAAAGTGGACAGTTGGGTTATTTTCAAAAAGGAATTGCAGCCTGGAAATCTTTATTAAGTAGCTTGGTGAATTATTATTTTTTAAGAGACGGGGTGTTGTAACACGTTCTCTCTGTTTCTTAGTTAAGACTCGTTTTTTATTCTGTAGCTTAAAACACCTCGGGCAGTAAATGTGTGATCTCTATTTTGTTAACAAACACAACAGAGCCATGCATATCTGTTCAACAGTCTCTGTAATGAGCCTTTTAACTGGGATTTTATTATGACATATGTCAAACTTGTTTTTTAGAAATAAACGCGTGCCCTCATAGGTGCAGTACAATCAATCCTACTCATCCAGCCGGAGTATCAAGTTTACACAGGCGTAAACAAATAGTTTGTTGTTTCATAAAAACAGTTCATGGAGTTGTGGTTTGACGCTGCAGCCGATCGTCCAGTGAGCACCTTGTAAATCAGAGTCATGGGTATCTTTTTTTTTACTATCTTTAAACAGCACACATGTTTTAAACTGATATTTTGTTTGTTTGTGAAGCTTCCCTGTTTTCAGCTACCTTTTTAAATCACCACTGCAGTACAGTGAGCATGCACAGAAACTTGTTGTGTTCCTCTTCAGGTCTGCGAGTGCCTTGCTCCCAACAGGTTTGACAGGATTCTGCATGGTGAAACCTTTGTACTCCTCCCCCCGTCCTACTCACCTCTTTAGGTTAACCACAGGGCCGTGACTCATGCACCAAGTTTTACGGTCCTTTCTGTGTTTTATGGGGTTTATTCCAATGAAACATGTCCAGATGTCTTTACCTTAAAATACCTCCAGTCAAAGCAAAGCATTAAGTCATATTTCAGAGCATAGTTATCTGGTTCTATAGGTCACCACATTCCTCAAATAATCAAGTACCTACATGCTGTCTGCTGCTGTCACCTATCTTCAGTTGATTATCTACTTGGGCAAAGAAAACACAGCGACTTCTATTGTGTTCTTAACATTTTACAATGTCACTCAAGGAACATCCTGGGGGAAACACTTTCACAACCGTTCGTCAAGAAATGTATTCACACTCCTGTGAAATGGTGGTCGTTATCACTATGAGGTTTTTATTTTTTAATAGGCCATTGAGTTCTATCTATTGACCATTCATTCACCTAAACAATTGTCTGTGTGTCTTGTAGGACAAAGACTGGGACACCTCGGTCCAGTTCCTGCCAGCATCGGATAACAAGAAGCTTGAGAAGAAAAAGGGTCCGGGGAAGGTCGGGGCTGTGATCGGTGTGGTGATCTTTGCAGCCGTTATCGCGCTTATGACCGGACTGCTGGTCTGGCATTTCCACTGTAAGATCTCCTTCCTTACTATTTGATTTGATTGATAAAACACAATAGCAAGCAGTAAATAAAAAAGGGTGTAACATTGAAGTAACCTAATCTCAATGACAAAGAATTGGATAATCCTGCTTTTGACATATGGTGATTTAGTTCTTTTTACAGAGCACTTGGATGTGCCAGATTGCTTTCATTTAAGCAAGTTTAGTAAATGATGAGACAATAGTTCAAAAGTCCTTTTTGCACATTGTTAAGAACATTCTTCAAGGATTATACATTAAAGGACTTCTTTCTTTTCCTCCCCTTTAAAATTCCTCTGTTTTTCATTGAAATCTGCAGTAATTATTGTGATATGTTATAAACAAACAAATAGATCCAATACAAATATCTTTTTGTGGAGATATAATATAATATATTTATATGTATTAAAAGGAAGTGAATGTGTGTATTTGCTGTTATATCCATAAATGCATAAGCATACACATTTTTGATATATAATGAAACGTTCATAGGCAAGTTAGAGCTTAAAGCTGTTCATTCTGTCTCGTGATTGTTTGCACGTTCAAATGATTGAAAATTAGAAGGAGAGATTAAAGCAACGTCACTTGGAACAAATACACCTAAGAGCTTAAAACTTAAAAACAAGGGGAAACAAAAAAGTGACAAGCAGAAAAGTGAATGTGTGTAAACTCTATTGCTGTCAAATGGTGGGTGTGTGCTTCATCAGTGTTGTGTGCTTCCTCCCGCAGTCCGTAAAGATGTGCGTCTCAAGAGGATGTACAGCGGCTCCATGCGGATCACCAACCAGGTGTTCGAAGACGCCTACGAGAACTCCAACAGCTCCGAGTTCAAAGCACTGGCGAAACAGGTGACCTCACAGGTGAGACTGCTGCTCGAGCTAACATTTCAATTAATCTGCGTTTATAAAGTCATTTTTCTGTTGTTTTCAAGCGGCATTTATTAATGTTCCGTCGTAATTTTGGTCTCTTTCAGCTTAAATCCATCTATTCCAAAAGTCCAAAGTTGTCAAAATACTACGTTGGATCCAACATTCAGGCTTTCAGGTACAGACCAGACTTTTTATTATTAGCTCTACCAAGAGCCTCATGCTTCCTTTCCTTGTGTCTGTGTGTTGGTTACCAGAGGATCTCACAAACGGATTAAGTTGACATTTGAGAACCAGTGTTTGTTTTTAGTGTGCATGCATGCAGATCTAATAGCACCAACATTTAAACACACCAGTCTCTAAGCATTTTCTGTTATTGAAATGGCCAGTTCAGAGGAATGTACATTATGCTTTTGAATGCCAGTGATGTTGCTTTTAAGAAGATTTCCATGGCGAAAATGTTTTCTTATCAATTCAGTTCAAAATTGTTTCAGTCTGCTCCATATTCCCAGAGGGCAATTTCGCCATAAAGCTGTAGTACCAATACAAAAACATATAAAAAAACATAAATCATATGTTTTTTTTAAATCGTGTAATAAGTGTGAAGATATTCCAATTCTTGATTGAAGGGCCCGTATTATGAAGATTTTCTGTTTCATATTTGTATTTTGTTCCTCTACTATTTCCAGGCTTTAATGTCCAAAAAGCTCTTTATTTGTCTCACTCTGCCTGTGCTGCAGCACCTCTTTTCACCCTCTGTCTGAAACCAGAGCCCAGTCTGCTCTGACTATTTCTGTTGTGATTGTTCAACTTCTTAGAGATGTCTCGCCCCTTAGCTTATAATGTACAATGTGTTGGAGCGCTAGCCAAAGAAAATGCAAGTGTTACATAGTGTTGTCGTGTCACCATATTGTCACCATGTCAAATAAGTACACAAAGGAGTCCAATGGAGGCGTTTCAGGCAGGGGGGAGTGTTTCACTGTCAATGACCAAAAAGCATAATAGGACCCCCTTAACTTTACTCTACCCCCACACTGTCTAATTGTTGCCTCTTTGCTCTCAGTGAAGGCAGTGTTATTGCCTACTACCTGTCAGAGTTCAAAGTCCCTGCAGGCCAGGAGGCGTCTGTGGATCACGCCATGGCTACGATGGATAAGCTGGTGGAGAACCTTCAGCGCTCCGGGAAACGACCCAGCAACTCTCTGGTGGTGGCGGACGTGGTGTCTTCAGGTAGAGTCAAAGCAGCTACATGCCACACGTGATTCACTCCATCCTCCATCATGCTGTTGTGCTTGTGGTTTGTGTTAGAAGGCCAAGTTCTCTCTGGGTGTGGACCTACTCTCTGTTTTGCTGTCAATATCCCCCTCTAAGTGATCTGTCTTGTGTTTCCTCTCGCAGCCCTCGATGATCGTCTGTTATCAACATCATTCAGCAGTAAGTGCTCAATTTTCATTCATCATTTATTTTAGTACAGTTATCTTTGACAACTCATCTGTATAAATAGGAAACAGAAGTCATGTTCAACACATAGTTCATGGTGTTTAAAACATGTTATCATACCTGAAACTATTATAGATTATTGTCACTTTTTCCATTACAATTTGTTTCTACATACAGTTTGCTGACAGCTAATAGGATTTTGTTGGCAGTTTAGGTCATCCAGCAAGAATGAAGAATAATTTAACTGATCATCTTTTCAAAAGATATGTTAACATGTTATACCATTTTGTGATAGTCATGCACTCTAGCCATATTTATATGTGCATGTTTGTTGTTGTTTTCCTTAATTATTCTTAATAAAGGCAATTTGTAGTCTTTATGTTTGCAAATGAATCATCGTTATTTTCTGTGTTTCATCATATCCAGAACATCTAATGTACTTTAGTGCAGATTAACACAGTTATTCAAGTATATAGTTTAACTGCTGTGCCGTGAAAGTTAAATGTGAACACTAAAAGTCATTGTTTCGGTCTCAGGATTTTTTAAGTATGCAGAACACACAAAGTCCAATCAAGTGGGGCAGATCCAGTCCCCTGGCTTCCCTAACAAACCGTACCCCCCCAACACCTTCATCCAGTGGCAGCTGAGAGCAGACCCCAACTACGTCATCAAGCTTGAATTCGATACGATGAATCTGGAAGAGAACTGCAAGAATGACTTTGTCAAGATCTACGACTCTCTGGTGGCTATTGAGAGCCGCGTTATGGCAGAGTGAGTTATTTAAATACCGATTCAAGCTGAGAAATAACTTCAATGCCTTCTGCACTTATTTTCATGCAGAGCCAGATTGTTCATACTTTGGATAAAGAGAACTGTAAGTAAGCCCTCTGCTGGCCAGTCTCTGTAAATCTGGTGGACTCTTATACTGCACTGTGTTAAGTTACATGCCAGACAAATAGCACTAGCAATGGTAGTTAAGTCTACATCTGGGACCAATTCAGATACAACTGTTTGAGAGATGCACTTTCCTAACCAGAAGAACAGTCGGAAAGCCAGCAGGAGCTCTGCAGGCAAAATGTTCATGTGTGCATAGTAAAATCGAACAAAACCAAGTGCCATTATTGCACGCAAGAGATAAAATGCCTCTTGATTTATAAAAAAAAGAAAAAGGAATCAGCATTGTAGGAGTGTATTATGATGTGCTTTGGTCAAAGGTTAAATCCATGCTTGCAGTAAAAACCTAATGGGTGGTGGATCCAATGACAATACGTTGTTGTGGAATTAGTTGATGTATAATCAACAGGCTATTTGAATTTTTTTTTATTGTAACCATCACATCGGTGAGCAGTGCATTTAATAATGTTGTTTTTCTCCTACAGGATGTGCGGGTACTACTCTCCCAGTGAACCATTGACCTTTCTGTCTTCTGGAAATGTCATGCTGGTGACGATGGCCTCCAACGACAAGAAGAACTTCCCTGGATTCAGAGCAAAAGTCTCACAAGTCAAACGTGGAAGTAAAGGTAGGAACTACATGTTCTATCAATTTATTCATATTTAGTCTCATTAACCCACACATATACCGTCTTTTAGTTAACTATATGCCTTCAGCTTTAATGATGTTTATCTTCAGTGAACTTTCACTATGGGGCTGTGTAGTACATTTCCAAATTATATTCTGTGTCGTTCAGGATCCGCTTTGGGCATCACTTGTTGTTGCATAAACTCTGTCCTTTTTAACTGGAGATTTCTTGATTCTGTTATACTCTCTTTGATTTATTTTTTCTCGTTTTTAGGACATTCAAGGACATATTCGATTTACGGAATGGTTTAGCCTTTTTGCAAATGTTTACAATAACATGTGCATTTTTTAATGATCAAATGTGTGATTTACTCATTTAGGCATAAACCCAGAACAGTATGGTATGATAAACTGATATAACACAAGAGAAGAACATGCATACAGCTCCCTTACAAAACAAACAACAAACAGAAACATCAAAAGACAAAAACCGCAGACTAAAGCGTAGAAATGTCATTCAGCAGCGGAGTTGATATGTTTGCAGGCACTGTCACCGACACTAGCACCGTTAGCTCTGAGCCAACACTGCCAGAAATGTATTAACATACTTTTTAACATCATGTTTAAAGGTACAACATGCGGTGGGCATCTGACGGGTGAAAAAGGCACCTTTTCTTCTCCCAACTTCCCAAATTACTATCCTACTCGGACCTCATGTCAGTGGTCCATCACGGTGAGACATCTGTTACACAGTCAGATCACACAGGTTTTTGGGGCACATGTCAACATTTTAAATTTGTTTCTACTCGTCTCTGTCAATTGTGAAGGTCCCTACTGGTAAGGCGGTGAAGTTGACGCTCAAAAAGTTCTTCTTGTCTGAGCCGGGGCAGGAAAAAAGTAAAGACTGTCGCAAAGACTACGTGGAGGTCAACAAAAAAAAGTGAGTCAGTGCGTGTATGTCTTAAAATCACATTGTATTACACAACAGATCAGACATGTCACTACTTGGGCGTCTCTTCCTCAGGCTCTGCGGAGAACAACCGGAAGCAACGACAGAAACCAGCATCACCAACAGCATGAGCGTGGTGTTCTCCTCCGACAACTCGTATGTGGACCGAGGTTTCGAAGCCACCTATGAGGCCATCGACGCCAAAGACCGTAAGGGACTCAGTTTCTCCCAGATAACGATTAATTATTAACAAAATGCGAGTGTAGCTCATGTTTACCCTATCGTCCACAGCTTGTCCAAAGCAGTTCATGTGCAGAAACCAGCGCTGCATCAAAACAGAGCTCAAGTGTGACGGCTGGAATGACTGCGGGGACATGAGTGAGGAACTGAATTGCAGTAAGTACTATCTACTCAGATTATACTCCAAAAGAGTAGTCAAAATTAGAAGTCAAATTACACTCTACATCAATGTGTTTTTCTCCAGAGTGCAATGCAAAAGGATATCTCATGTAAAAATGGCCTGTGTAAGCCCATGTTCTGGAAATGTGACGGCGTGAATGACTGTGGAGACGGAACCGATGAGCTGGGCTGTGGTGAGTCCTGCTGATGCTGGTGGAGGATTATTTTGACACATGCACTGAAAGGCTTTCAGTCGGTTTTCTAATGCCGTTCTGTTTCTTCTGTTTTCCAAGGCGGGTGCAAATCTGGACAAGTAACATGTAGGAACAAAAAATGTGTTTCTGAGAAGAATCGCTGTGACGGCAGGGACGACTGCGGAGACGGGTCCGACGAGCTCGACTGTGGCAGAAGTAAGACTTTTTTTTTTTTTTTTTTTAAAACATTTCACCAGCCGTATGTCACTGAATTTAATGTTTTCTCATGTATTTGAAATGTTGTTTTTCTCCAAATTAGAGGAATTAAATGCAACTGGACTTGAGCACTGCCACATATTTAATGTATTTTATGTCCTATTGGAATCTTTACATACTACTTTGGTTCTACAGCACATTTACTAATGACTTAAAGGGCCCTTATTATGATAATTTTCAGGTTCATATTTGTATTCTGTGCCTCTACTGGGACATGTCTCCATGCTTTAATGTTCAAAAAGCTCTTTATTTTCCTCATACTGCCTGTGCTGCAGCACCTCTTTTCACCCTCTGTCTGAAACCAGAGCCCAGTCTGCTCTGATTGGTTATTGTGATTTTTTTTTTCAACTGCTTAGAAATGCCCCGCCCCTTATTAGTTATTGTGTGAGTTTAAAATGTTTGCACGTAAAGAAGTTTCAACTGCATTTTTCTTTCCTTCTCTCTCTGCAGGTACTGACAGTCGCTGCACTGAACTCACATATAAATGTAAAAACAATAAATGCATCAGTAAAGTGAACCCAGAATGTGACGGGACAGCAGACTGCGAAGACGGATCGGACGAGGAGAACTGCGGTATGTCTCAATCAAAACCTCAGTTTGGTTGGTCAGATTAAATGACGTGTTATTATCAAAACCTGCATTGATTAGTTTTGCATGACAAAACAGATGTAAACTTCCGCTTCAGGGCACTACAACAACGAGTTGCCACATGTCAGCCCGGTGACTGATTGTTTACTTTGCAGACTGCGGGAGGAGTAAGTTCAAGACGTCGCGTATCGTGGGTGGTCAGGACACAGAGGAAGGGGAGTATCCCTGGCAGGTCAGCCTGCACATCAAGAATTACGGTCACGTGTGCGGAGCGACCATCATCAGTCCACGCTGGCTGGTCACTGCGGCCCACTGCGTGCAGGATGACGGCTCGACAAGGTAGCATTTCGCTTCTAGTTCTCACTCCTAACTAGAAACCTTTTCTGAAAACGTGACAATTATTTTAGCTTTTAAATAGGTAAGGTGGAGAGATTGATTTGCAGCTCTCCACCTTTAGATGACTGGTGATGATTACATTTTTGAATAGCATTTATTTAGCACATGCACTTAGAGAAAATAAATAAGTGCAAATACAGAATGCCATTAAAGGTGGGGTAGGTAAGTTTGAGAAACCGGCTCGAGATACACTGTTTGTTATATTCCATGGAATGCTCTTAACATCCCAATAGCAATGAATATCTTAAGTGCTTTGACAAAAAATCCATAACAAAATGTCATCTGTGGAAGCCGTAGTACTGTAAAAAGCACGCACAATCATTTTAGCCGGCCCGGCTAAAATAACTGGATGGCCTACCTGCCTGTCAGCCTTCCATCTGTGCACAAACTTATCTCGTGCCCTCATTGGTCATGTGCGCGTTTGTGTGTGTTGGAGGAGGGGCTCTGTAAGGAAGTGGCAGATTTTTTCCGGTTGTGTATTTTCAAATTCTAGCGCATTCCAGCTGGTTTCTCCAAAATTACCTACCCCACCTTTAAAGTCAATGTCAACTTTATTATCAATATCTCTGAGTGTTGTATAAACAGGGAGACCGAAATGCCGTTTCCCACCGCCCCAAAGATAAAATAATATATAAAAAAGATATACATATGTGTGTGTATACATACATAAACACGATTTTTTTTTTTTTTAAAGGGCAAAACAATAAATATATATAAATAGCACTCTTTAGAATTCTTTAAAGTCTTCTATCATTTTATTATATCACTGGTAACATTATTTTTAAGACATTGCAGAATGCAACAAATAAAAGTTTGTTGTCCCCAAATATTGTATCGTTATTCATGACGTTTTAATAGATTCAAAAACAGTTCAATAGAGTGTTTACACAAAAACAATGGGTGTGATACTCCATAGTTCTTTGAAATGCCTCAACTGCTTTTAAATTCTTTGAATTGAGAACAAAATATCTTGCGCAATTCAGTGGTTTGACTTTTTAAATACATTGTAAACAGTTTGTCACATGCAAAGCGGAACTAAGAGCTCTGTGTTATTACTCACAACTTAATGCTTGGGTGTGTGCGTGAATCATTTACTGGCATGAAACCTTTACCGGCCCTCAGTGTTTTAGAGGTTTTAGTGTTACCCCTAACACAGTAAAACATGTTGCAAACATATTTTCTAAGAGAGATGCTTTTGCCACATGATGTGCTTAATTAATAATGATCCTACAATGAGAATGACCTTATCGATCTGTCCTTGTGTGTTTCCTCAGCTACTCCCTGCCCGGCACTTGGGAGGTGTACCTCGGCCTTCACACCCAGCGGAAGATTGGCAGTTCCGTGGTGAAGAAGAACCTGAAGCGGATCATATCCCACCCCAACTACAACGCATACACCTTCGACAACGATATCGCCCTGATGGAGCTGGACAGTCCTGTCACCTTTTCCGATTACATCCAGCCCATCTGCCTGCCGTCTTCCACACACGATTTTCCAACGGGTAACACTGTGTGGATCACCGGGTGGGGCGCAACTCGAGAAGGAGGTGAGTTTTCACTTTTTCAGAGACAACCCTTTAATTTTTATTTAGGTAAAGACTGAAACATTATTTTGCTAAGGACCCAACTTTTTTTAACCTTAATTTTCCAAACTATTTACCCATATGATTGTGTCTACGTCACTAATTGGGACAGCACTTTTTAGCAATTGGTCCAGTATTTCATTATATGCTAATATGTTTTAATTATAGTAGCTACATATTAGCCTACAGATCATCATGTAGTTGCCAATACACACAATACAAATTTTACTGAGGTCCTTTCAATAGAAAAATTGCTTTTTTCCTCTGATGAGGGTCTACCTAATGACTTTTAGAGCTTCGAGCTGATGAAATGACAGTTGGAGATAAACATAAACGTAATGGTGTCCTCTTGTGTGCGTTTGTGCTTCAGGATCTGCTGCAACAATTCTCCAAAAAGCCCAGGTCCGCATCATCAACCACTCGGTGTGTAACGACCTGATGGCAGGGCAGATCACGTCTCGGATGTTTTGTGCCGGAGTGCTGACCGGAGGAGTCGATGCTTGTCAGGTAATAAAAGACACTTCAACCCCAAGCTGCCCTGCTTTCTTTCTCTCTGAAAAACAGCCATCTCACACAATTTCCTTAAAACAAGGGACACAAATATTTTATTGATAGGCTAATTTAGCTAGAAATTAGCTAGTTATACTGTGCTGATTAAGGATATTGGTAAGAGTGTTGGGCTTGTTTAGTTAAGAAAAGCATTTGCATTGTCTTGTCTGAAAAATGAAGAAGTTAAAGATAAGTTGTTGGAGGAAAGATTGGGGGGAAAAAGCAGAGAGACAAGAAAAGATGTGAAAAATATACATGATGCCCGGTTTACTTTCCTAACACATGTACCCATTTGTCTCTGTTAGGGCGACTCTGGCGGCCCTCTGACCAGTCCGTCCGGCAGTCGCAATTTCCTGGCGGGGGTGGTGAGTTGGGGGGACGGCTGTGCCCGCAGGAACAAACCTGGCATCTACACAACAGTCACCAAATTCCGTGGCTGGATCAAAGAAAAGACAGGAGTGTAGATGCATTCAAAATGGCGAAACAAGGCCATATTGACATGAACACGGACTGATGACAGGGGGCACAGTGTGGATCTTTGCTTCACCACTCTGGTGTAGTGGCCTTGACTCCCTGTCGCAGCTGCAGTGGAAAAAGCACTGTTTGCTTGAAGAGCAATTGCAACACAATGTTATGTCCACTGTGATTTTATGAGGGTGGGGTTGATGAAATGTTTTTAAATGTAAATATAAGTTTTATTTTTGTGGTTTTTTTATGCTGTGGTTTTAGCGTGTTTTGATGGAGAACATTGTTATGTGCTGCACAAGAAACAGATTTTAAGCGTGATTGTTACACATGAGTTGTGCCTCCTTGTGCACTGTCTGGTGTTTTATCGGTAGATATCATTAGAATTTCCCACCTTTTTCCTTGTTGTCTTTGTTCTGAATTTTATAAATTAAAAACAAAATAACAGCAAGCTCATTCCATCTTACCTCCTATGGCTTGGTATATTACACATTTTGTTATAGACTTTTAGGAAATCCCCGAAGGTTAGTGATGTGATTGTTCCCTTTCACAAGCATTTCCCTTCTCATGTTGAATAGCATTTCATTGTTACAGCTGTGAATTGCTTTTCTATCTGCATAAAACACATCAACATAACAGCAGCAGTTTATTCTTTCATGTTTGATATTATGTGACATCTATTTCATAAACCACAATGTTGCCAATTTATAATGTTTCAAATCTTTGTAAATGTGAGTTTTATTGCAAATATTTAATAAAATATTTCTTATACAACCTGACATTCTTTGCATTTTTTATTTTCATGGTCTGACTTGCATTTCATCTATAATTTTTGAATGACATTTAATTTCAAATGTTTATATTTGTTATTATTTCCTTTCACCTTTTATAGAAAATGTTTTGTATATATAATGTTATTGTTTTAGTATATAGCTTATCCAAAATAGAGACATTTGGGATGTCATAAGGTAATGCAAATTCTGGTCCAGATCTAGTGCTATTTATATTTCCCCATGTTCATCTTTGAAAAGTTTCTTATAGGGCATTTCACGTATGAAAAACATAACTGGTAAACCAGGATGTGCAATCTGAGAAGAACATATGTGTATATTTTATAATTATATTTGTCTTCCAATTTTTCGCAGTGCAATATTAAAATACAGTATGAGTAATTTCTCTTTTAAATGTTTAGCTTTGTTCTTCTTCTTTTTTTAATGCCGGAACAAAGAAACGGAACAGAACGGACCTAACCTTCACCGGAAGATATTTAACAGGGAGCAAACCGGAAACGGTCCCACCGTGTTATTGTTCCCCTGGTGCTCTCTTTATACATGCATTGGTGTTCGCAGCAGGGAAACCTCTATTTATTCGGTTTTAATGAATTTCTCAATTTGCTAACAGTCGTAACGCATTATTTAATCAATAATCTCAGATATAACAGTTAAAAACAATGTGTGAGCTCGTCTTTAAACCATTGAAAATGCACGGGTACTTCTTAGATAGTCTGTAGTTTATCCAATTTAAATGTAACATGTTTATGAAACTGTAAAGCCTTAAACAGGTGAATTTAATGTATTAGTAGTGATGCATTTTGGTTTTTGTGGAGGAGTAAAAACGTAAAACAGCTTCCAGTAAACATGGCCTCAGACAGGCGGAGGGACAGCCGGAGCTGGGACTGGGACAGCCCGCAGTGCAGAGCCCAGCTGGATGAGGTCTTTTTCCGCCGGCATGACTACATCCAGGCCGGCAGCACGGAGCACAGGGAGTTCTGGGCTTTCTTTGACCGTTTCCAGAGGTTTAAAACAAGGAAGGAAATGTCTGGGTCAGGAGCCAAAGAGGACAGGAGTAAGTCTGGCTCTGGAAAGGTAGACCTCGGCCTCCCTAAAGAGTATGATGCCCGGTACAGGATTAATGTGTCTGTGTGCACCCTGGATGTGGAGGAGCGCCTGGGGAAGTCAGAGCACCGAGGCAGCCAGAGATCCTCAGGACCAGGCAGTCAGGAGATCTCAGACTGCCGCCTGGCTCTGCTGCACTTCCTGGACTTCAGTCAGAGACAGAGTTTTGGAAAGCTGGCCAAGCTCCGCCGGGAGCAGAAGAACCTTCCCATCTTCCAGTACCGGGACCGGATCGTGGAGCTGGTGCGACAGAGCCCTGTGTTGGTGGTGGCAGGGGACACAGGCTGTGGGAAATCCACCCAAGTCCCTCAGTATCTTCTTGCAGCTGGCTTCAACCACATTGCCTGCACTCAGCCTCGACGGATTGCCTGTATATCCCTCGCCAAGAGGGTCAGCTTTGAAAGTCTCAATCAGTACGGCTCTAAGGTTTGTCATCACAAGTACCTTCAGCTGAAGCACCAGCTAGAACAAAGACTAGTCAAGCATGTTAAAAACACAGTATTGACTTGTCTATGCACATGTATCAAACACTCAACAGTAACACACAGTTTAGAATAGAATAGAAGTACTGGACCTAAGATAGATTTAAGATTCAATTCAAGATTCAAAGATTTATTGTCATTTCATATACATAACTACAGTGTAGTTATGTATATGAATGAAAAGCTTAGGTCACAGGTTCCGCAACAGTGCAATTACACAAAAACACATACATTTTTATAAGAATAAAATAGTCAGTAAAAATAAAAATAGTGCAAGCTCAGGTGTACTTTTATGGCCTGTGGGATGAAACTGTCTCTGAATCTGGCGGTCTTTGTCCTGATGCTGATACTTTTTCCATTCATCCAAGAGTCTTCACCAGCTCTACACATTGTTGGGAATGCCAATGAATCATAACTGTTGTTATAAAAGCAGATTTTGCACATGCAAACTCAAGGAAACTGTCTGCAAAAGAGTGTTTCTTTAATTGGATCCTGTATATAAAAAGCTGACAAAATGCTGTCATGTTCTGCAGGTGGGGTACCAGATCCGCTTCGAGACCACGAAGACCCCGTCCACCAAACTGCTGTTCCTGACAGAGGGGCTGCTGCTCCGGCAGATCCAGCAGGACCGGTCCCTCTCTCAGTACCAGGTGTTGATCGTGGACGAGGTCCATGAGAGACACCTCCACTGCGACTTCCTCCTGGGGGTCCTGCGCTCTCTGCTGGCAGAAACCCCAGAAATGCGTCTCATCCTCATGTCCGCCACCATCAACATCAAACTGTTCTCTGACTACTTCAGCGGCGCTCCTGTGCTGCAGGTACCAGGCCGGCTGTTTCCTATACAGGTGAGCAGAGAACACAGATGTACAAATAATATACAAGCCACTAGATTACATTTGTGTCCTAGGCCTTGATGTTTGAACGCATAATTGCACTAGAGACTTATCTGTACTTGAAGTAACTGGTTCAAACTAGGCTTCATTTTAAATGCATCCACAAAGAATCAAAAGTAATGTATCAATTACTATTAGTACATTTGAGAGCTCTGGACACTTACAAAAACACTTTTTAAAATAGTATAAATATATATACTCTTGCAAAATATAAATCTGTTACCTTCATATTTGTAATGGCCTGGTGGTTGGTGTCTTATAACAATACAATACTATACAAAGGGGTTTTATTGGCATGACCACATGTTAAACATAGTATTGCCAAAGCATTCCGCACAAGGCCTTATTATAACAATTTCTGCCTGCAATACATATAAGAAACAATTTATTAGGAAATGATGTCCCAAAAGTAATATTTCTATCGTAGTCAGGGTTTGTAAAGTTTTTAGTTATTTTCTTTAACACATACTTTTTGTTTTGTTTATGTATTAAGGTGTTATACCAGCCCATTCCCCCTGACGAGCAGCCCTCTCGTTCGGAGAAACTGGATCCCAGACCTTACCTGCGCATCCTGCAGGGCATCGATCAGCGCTACCCCCCCGAGGAGCGCGGCGACCTGCTCATCTTCCTGAGCGGGGTCCAGGAGATCTCCACCGTCCAGGAGGCTTGTCAGGTTCTGGCCACACACACACGCCGCTGGATCGTCCTGCCGCTGCACAGCACGCTCTCTCTGGCCCAGCAGGACAAGGCACGTCACCTTCCTTTGGATTACAGTGGATATAATACGTTTGAATGTGATATGTTAGCTAATCAGTTCTAATTCTTTGTCGTGTAATTCTTCAGGTGTTTGACATTTCTCCTCCTGGGGTGAGAAAGTGCATCATCTCCACCAATATTGCTGAGACGTCCGTTACCATAGATGGAGTTCGCTTCGTTGTAGACTCGGGTATGGCACTGGGAGTACCCTCATAGATTGGGATTCACTTTTTTAAATACTTACAAACCTTATTTGGTGCGGCCAAGTTTGTTCAAAATGTCTCTCTCTCTTTTGTATTTGTATTAATTTATTTAAGAAGGGACTATGCACATTAATTAACACAAACACTGGAGTCCATCATGTAAATGTGCCAGATTTAGCCATAGAGGATCATTTCATTTAAGATTAAAATAAGATATACTTTATTGATCCCAAATTTGGGAAACAAATGTTTTCGTTGCAGCACCATGTAAAACAACGTATTGCACACAATTAGAAACGTTTTTTTTTTTTTTTTTAAACAAGTATACAATATAAACATCTCAAAATAGAAGATACGAAGATTGACCGTGAAGATAAAAATCTGTAAATAAATAATCACAGGCAAAAGCACATGAGCAGACTGTAAACACATAGGGACACTTGCAGCACAATTAAAAGCCCTTAACCCATTAACACATAAAAGTCACAAAAGCTCATACATAGTCTCTTGGAGGATCCAAAAGATTCTAAAATCTGTCAATGTTTTCTAACTTTGAGGACATTTGAGGAGTACAAAGAACAAACATCATATAAATGATTGTTTTGTTGTTCATTCTTTTACAGGGAAGGTTAAGGAGATGAGTTTTGACCCTAAGGCCAAGATGCAGCACCTGCAGGAGTTCTGGATCAGCAGAGCCAGCTCTGAGCAGAGGAAAGGTCGAGCCGGGCGCACAGGTCCAGGAGTTTGCTACCGCCTGTACGCAGAGTCTGACTACGACGCATTCGCTCCTTATCCTGTGCCTGAAATCCACAGAGTGGCTCTGGACTCGCTCATCCTTCAGGTAACAACATCCTGAGGAAAGCAGGAGAGCACATCCTCTTTTTAATTCCAGTTCTAACTTTATTTATGCTATTTTCTGTTCCCTTAGATGAAGAGCATGAGTCTTGGAGATCCACTTTCTTTCGTCTTCATTGATCCTCCCCCTGCTGCTAGTATCCAGACTGCAGTTACTTACCTGAAAGAGCAGGGGGCACTGGACAGCCGGTCTGACCTGACCTCTATCGGTACAACTGCTGGCACAACTGCCCGTGGATTGTGGCATAGGTAAGATTGTCCCATACCACAAACCTTGGTGGAGTTTTATTGTTTCTTATATTTTGAAAAGTTTGAAGGTGCTGCACATTCAGTAGCAGCTAGATAAGTGTGTGATTGCTGTCGTGGTTGTGTGTGTGGGTGTGTGTGTGGTGTGGTGTGTGTGTGGTGTGTGTGTGTGTGTGTGTGTGTGTGTGTGTGTGTGTGTGTGTGTGTGTGTGTGTGTGTGTGTGTGTGTGTGTGTGGTGTGTGTGTGTGTGTGTGTGTGTGTGTGTGTGTGTGTGTGTGTGTGTGTGTGTGTGTGTGTGTGTGTGTGTGTGTGTGTGTGTGTGTGTGTGTGTGTGTGTGTGTGTGTGTGTGTGTGTGTGTGTGTGTGTGTGTGTGTGTGTGTGTGTAGGGAAGATGCTGGTGCTGGGCTCTCTGTTTAACCTGGTGGACCCCGTGTTGACGGTGGCGGC